ACATGTTTACGCTTTTGCTTCTCTAGCAGAGAAATGAACCGAAAAATCTGTCGAATTTCTAGTCTATTTGAAATTTTTCACACGAAATTCGACAAGCTTTCGACACTGTCGAATTTCGAGGGAAAAACCGACAGTGTCGAAAGCTGTCTGTCGAAATTTAGAACGGTCGAACAGCGGCTAAACCTTACACAACGATGAAATAGAATTTATTAATAAAAGAAACTCTTGAAAAAATTCAAAATGGTGTAACAGCCGTGGAAATTGAAATTTGGAATTTGTCGCCGTTCGACTGACAGTTTTCAACACTGTCGATTTTCGAGTGAAAAATCGGTCGAATTCTTAGCCTGTTGAAAAACTTTTGGTCGACATTCGACAGTGTCGAAACACGCTGTCGACAACTGTTTCTGTCAAACTGCGAAATTACCGAAATTTGCATAACTTAATAATAATTATTGGCAGTGGTTCAGATAAGAAAAAACAGAAGTAAATATTGAATTTGTTGAAAATATTTAAAAATGTGTGAGATTTTCACATATGGCAACGGGTACTATATGTACTGCAGATAAAGACTAAAGTAAATTGATAAAATCTATAATAATACAAAATAAAACACAATTATTAATTCGATTCTGCTTTTGTATACGTAAGTACACGCTTTTTCTTATACACGTGTCAAATATGAGTATGTGGTTATTATACTTGTGGTAGTTCAGCCAGCAAAGCGAGTAAATGAGACAGATTGCAAATTAGTCTTGCAGTTGAATATGATACTTGTTCAAGGGTAGAAATTTTAGAATTGATAAAATAGTAACAGCAGTTGCTTTCAGATTCATATTTATTTTATTAAAATTAAAATTAAAAAGTCTTCGATTAAAATAAAGTCGAAGTTTTGAAAATTTTCAGTTTCATTTCCAGGACACTAGAGGCATTTAATACGATGTAAAGTTAAAACGAATAGAACTGTATTAAACGTCTATTGTCTTGAAGATGAAAATGAAAATTTTCGAAACATCGACTTTATTTTAATAAAAGACTTTTTAATTTTTATTATTAAAATAAATAAATAAATATGAATCTAAAAGCAGCTACTGTTACTATTTTGGCAATTCTAGTATTGCAGTTGCATAACACATCATCATTTGACGAAACAATAAGATATAAAGGGTGTCCCATACAGAGAAATAAAGTTTTTCTCTCTATCATTTTCCAGTGAAACCACACCATTCTTTTTTTGTTTGCTTGAGCAATGAAACATTTTAAGAAATCACACGCAGGTATGACTTTTTTTTATGTCTCATGAAGAGACTATGAAGTATTTTTTCACGTATTGACTTCTAAACTGTACTGATTAATGTAAATGATCCTCTTCTGCACACTCGATGTTTGGAATGATTGTGTAATAGCTGATGTGGTAGAGCCAAGGGGGAAAAACCTCACTTTAAGTGTGTGCACCTCCGAGTTAGTGTCACTTAAAGTGGTTAAGTGTCATTTAAAATTCCACATCTTTCTGGAAAGTCAAGACTTCAGTTCTATATGTTTTGAGATCTGAAATGTATGGACTGCAGCTGTTCCACGTCATACGAGTCTGTTTGTTTTCATCATCTTAATGAACAAAGTTAGAAAACAGCTACAAATGTCAGTAAAAAACCGAAAACTAATAACTGTTTCTTTCAGTATAAATCAGTCGGTTTAGTGACAAGACAACAGTTATTTTTCTTTCTTTTTACTGTTGTTATTTTACTATGTATAAACGGGCGATGGATTTATCACAGCCTTTCTCTTTCTCTATTGCTAATCGTTCGTTTAGTTATAGATGCTACTCACTCGAAGTAACGTCATCGAGTAACGTCTCTATCTTATTCTTCCGTCTGTTTTTCTCTCTTTCTATACATGATTCTGGTAATTTTACTTGAGAACAATTAAATAGTTAAAACAAAATTGAACGTTTAAAGTTGAACAAGGGCAATTATCAAGGAAGAATATTAGTTAGGCATTAGCTGCCGGCCTAATAGTCCCAATACATGCATGTGCATTAAAATGTCTAAGAGAAAAAAGGTCTCATATACCTCTGGTCTTCTTTTTATAAAGCAACATAAACATTCAATACCACGTAACTTTCGAGCAAAAAGCAAAATCTGTTACTTTTTCTTACCGTAAGGAGGAAAAATTAGCAATCACTACTGCAAAAATCTTGTTCAAACAGATAAATAAACATGACACTTAAGTGTCATTTAAAGTGACTACGTGACACTTAAAGTGACTATCACTTATAAGTGTGAGAGGTATACTACATTTTGTAGTGCACATTACATTCTATCAATTTCAGTTTAATTCAGTCTTGAATGAATCTTTGATATAAAAACTAGTTCTGATCTATTTCTGAAACAATCAGTCCAGTTGATTTATCTTGTCAACAGAGTTTCTTGACAAGATTCTATTAATCGATTTCAGTTCCATCTTCTCTTACGATAACTGTTTCTGTGGTGTGGGATCGGAATAGGTGTACAAGGGTATAGACCGATCTGTATCGTTTAACATAAGACTCAAAACAGACAAATACTAACCAAAAAAATGAACACTGGAGGCATCAAGTCGATTGTATAAGTTCAATCGTTGTACGGAATATAGACACAGAACAATAGGCTTAGTTTTGCAGTTTACTGCAAAGCTAAGTTCATTACAAAACTGATTTCTGGCGCTGATAGTTTTAGTTTAGAATATTAAACTAGAATTATTTCGCTTGTATTCTGAAAAATAAAGCTTATATCAACACAAGGCAAGTAGATCTAATTACGAATGATTTTTTGAATAGTGCTCTATATCGATGTTTCTCTAAATGGCTAACTTTTGGCCATTTTTTATATTCCTTTTCATTTTATTAGCTTATACTCCACTATTGGGACTACTTATTGCCACAAATTTTAGTTGTATATTTTACTTTTTTGGTAATGGCGAAACCTTCATGCGCCCACATATAAGTGTCTTACATTCAGTTGTTTCGCATACAGTAGTCCAGCTTCCGCTAGTCTGATCCGTTGTAATTGTCGTTGATTAATTTTAGGATGGATCCACTACCATTACCACCACCAATAATCATCAAACGGAATAGTTCAAAATTATATCATGTTATGCATCTTGGTCTGTCATTTTTATTTATATTTATGTCATTTGGTGTCGCCCAATTATTTCAAACATCATCTGATCATGCTCGTTCTGGTGCCGTTGCTTTATTCATTGTTTACGGTGTATTTTCTTTATCAAATCTTTTATTATCATCGTATTTGACACAAATTTTTGGTTTAAAATTAACACTATTTTTATCCAGTCTAACGTATGTTAGCTTTGTTGCTATGAATATTTCCTATAATAAATATGCTCTATATACAGCATCGGCATTATTGGGTTTGGGCGCTGCTCTCATATGGACAGCTCAAGGCTCTTATGTGTTAATATTAGCACGAGAACACGAAACATTGAATATGATGGGAATATCATCACAATTGGGCTATTTCAATGGTCTCTTTAATAGTATATTTGCTATGAATCAAACATTGGGTAACGTAATTGCTGCTCTACTGTTCTATTATAAAGTTAAAGAATCGAGAATATTTATTGTAATGAGCGTTGTTGGCGCTCTAGGGTCGTTGTCAATCTTATTTTTAAAAAATGTAAAGCAAGAACAAAAAGAGAAACGATCGGTACTCTCAAGTGTATCTCTTCTGATTAATCCTCGAATGTTATTTATAATGCCAATTATTTGCTATGTAGGACTTAGTTGGACTTACATTTATGGGAGTATACCACCGTTGATTTTAAACAACAGTTTAAAATTTTTTGCATTCGTTTGTTTTGGTCTAACAAGCGCATTGAGCTCCATTTTCTTTGGGAAATTAAGTGATCATTTCCATAAACGTTTAGTAATACTTTTCATTGGATGTTGTTCACATCTATTGATCTATATACTTCTGTTTACAATATGGTTCCCACCAATTGATCAAACCAAAGTGTTTATATTTCTTATCATTACTTGTTGGTTGGGCGTTGGTGATGCCATATTTGCGACGCAATTATATTCTGTTTTAGGTATGTTTTTCACTTCGGACAATACCAAACGTCCATCATCGGATATATTTGCTAACGTGAAATTTTTACAAGCTGGTAGTTGTGCTATTGGATTTTTCTACAATAATTATTTTAATTTTAAAATACAAACAGTAGTTATAGCGTCGACTCTTGGATTTGGAATGGTAATGTTAATTATTTGTCATTATGGATTTTATTCACTTGATTCTGAAGAAAAAACAATAGATAATAGTGATAAAGTTTATAAAGCAGTGCCATTAGATCAACAATAACGACAGTTCCTCTGATACAAATATAAAAGGAATAAAAACGCCAAAAGATTGGTGGAGTCCACCAATACTCTTAAAACTCAACATAAAAACTTCATCTTTGTTGAACGTTTTGGAATTAAGATCTATCTCAAAACAATTCAAAATTTGTTTACTGTATATGTTAAATAAAATTGTTGTTGTAGTTTTCGTGAAAAATGGATGTATGACTATTTTTCTTCCAATGATAAAACTGTTCCAGCATGAATCACTATAATTATACGTAGTACATCATGCTGACTATGTAAATAAGATTCATTTTTGCTTTACCATCCAGGTTTTTAAAGTCACCGGTCTCCACAATCCCCCAAACTCTGAATACATTGTTTTAAAATTTTTCTACATATACTAACCAGGTAAGCAAAAGCCGGGTGAAATGACTAGTCTTTTTCCGAGTCCGGACGACCGTCCCGACTAGTCTTCACGACAAAAACGACCCCGTCATGACTAGTCCGAAATTTTAACCATTAATTCAAAGAAAACCGTCCGTAGTAGTGTCGCTGACTAGTCTGACAAGCTATATACTGACGACGTCTGGACTAGTCTAAATGAAAGAAAGATAGAGAAATAGGTTAGAAGAGAACATGCGACATTTTGTTTTACATACCTGTGATTGAACCAACTGAGCCATTGCGCCATCGGTTTGTCTATCAGTTTCTGCATGCTAGTTTTTAGTATACATAAAGAATATTTCTCTGAAAAATTTAGATCTTCGTTAAACCTTATCATAACTTCAGAATAAATAGTTCTGAGCAACAAAGCTTTTTTTAAAAATTTTAGTCCATGGTTGCTTGCTTGAGTCAAGAGGAAAGTTTTTCAGAAAACTCTTTGCTCAAAAATCCCTACAATACGCATCGTTCAATTCGGTTTTCAGGTGGATTCCAAATATCACCTAGCTTCAGTTTCTAACTCACATCTTTCCGATGCAAAAATTGAAATTATTAGGACAATTTTTCCAATTTCTCGCTACCGGCTACATTTGGTATCTAAATTTCTTCATAAAGCTACCATTGTAAATTACTCTATCTTATTCAGAATTCTGCGCTCTACAAAATGCGGCATATACTTCTATGCATAACTGAACCGTACATTATTTTCCCAAAAGACTAATCAGAAAGTGGCACAATCGTATTTGACTAAAACAATGTACCAGACGTCCGTCTGGTCCAGGCGCCAGTTTCTTTGCGCAGACTGTGTAATGATTCAAACTAAGACTATGGAATTAAAATTGCTTCGTTAAAAATTTTCTGACTCGGTAAGAAGGTAAAGCAAATATTTCTCTACAAAATAAGATGTTGGACAGCTCTGTACGATTTGGTTTGAGTTCTCGGCAGTAAATGAGTACTCGCTCGTGTGTTCTCGAAGTATCGCTGCCGAGAACTCAAAACAAATCGTACAGAGCTGTCCAACATCTTATTTTGTAGAGAAATGTTTGCTCTACCTCCTTACCGAGTCAGAAAATTTTTAACGAAGCAATTTATGAAACGCCAGGCTTTTGAAAAATATGAAATCCTTAGTCAGCAAGTATCGTTCATCTTCGATTCACTGACCCTTGACTGAAAATAGGTTTTTAGCGATGAGTTGGTGTTAGTAGCTTTTAAAGGAATGGAGAAACAGGAAGTTTTTGTTTATTTATGTGTATGATTGGATTAGATCCAATGACATATGACGTGTTGAAGGACATATTTCCTAGGATTTGATCGTTAACATTAGGAGGCGTTTACTCATTTTATTTAAACAGAATACGG